AGGTTGTGGTGAGGTGGGGTCAGCGTCTGCTCCCAGGTAATAGTGATTGGATGAGATGATGGCCTCACATTATGCCAGGGGAGGTTCAGATTGGATATTAGGAAAATTTTCTTCTCATAAAGAGTGGCTGGGCTGCACAAGGAGTGGTGGTGTCACCATCACTGCAGGTGTTCAAGAACTATGGAGATGTGGCACTTGAGGACATGGTCAGTGGGCATGGTGGGGGTGGGTTGGCCACTGAACTAAATGATCTTAGAGCTCTTTTCCAACCTTATCCGTTCTATGATTCTCCAACTCTTGTTCTCCAACTCCCATTCCCTACTGCAGCTCACTCCCCTTGCATAGGCTAGGAATTTGCTGTGCTGCATGTGGATCGTGGAAGAGCCACAACCAGACACGGTCTTTCAGCACAGCATGGTCATGCGTGGGGAGACACAGAGATATGTGCACTGCACACGCACTTCTCACAGTCCCCATAACTAGAATTATCTCCCCTGCATCCACCTCCAGCAAAATATAAATGTGTGTGTACAGTCACTGCCCTACAACAGCTCCCAACTCATCTTCCTCATGCAATCGCTCTTTGCCATCCATCTCCCAGATGGGGAATGCAGCTGAGTAAAGTTGAACCTGCCCACCATGTCCCCACAAAGAAGAGAAATCTGTTCCATACCTGCTGGAAGAGCTCCTCCTTCCACTGCTGTTGCTTTCGTCAGCCTGAAAGACAGAAGACATTAAAAGAGGCTGTTTAGGTTAAGAATACAATGCTGTCTTCTAATTCTTCTGGTGCACCTTGCACCAGAACTACCCTGAGTTGCACAAATCCTCAGTGCTCGATTTTGGCAGAATGGACCACACACTTCAGTCCAAGCCCATAGTTTTCAGCAGACCAAGGCAGGACTTCAGACACCAAGGAGGTGATTTTATTATTCTCCTCCAAAAACACTCAACCAGCAGCAAATGCTGGAGATTGCTCGTGCAATTATTTTACTGCATTCTACTGTAGTCCCCCACAGTTTGAAGCAACAAATCTTCCCATTCAAGAGGAAAACAAGGCTGAAACATTCAACTTACAGAAAGGAAATATCCAAATTCAATGCATCCACGCTCAGATGGCCTACATTCACATAAAAAAAAAAAAAGCACAGTGCCTTGCAATCGCTGTGCCAGACTGGATCAGGCAGTGGGGATGGGGACACCGGGTGTCATCCCAACCCACACCAACCCAACCTCCTCAATTCCATCCCTCCTCATCCCAAACACAACTCCAAGCCTCTCTCTTCCTGGATGAGGGGCTCTGGGAGCAGAGCCCTGACAGTCCCTGTCCCATACACACCTGGCCCAGCCCACGCTGCTCCCCATGGGTGCCCCAATCCCATCCCTGCACACTGAAGGGGACGGACACGGAGCCGCCTCCTCCCTGCCTTCATTCCCCAGCTCTCTGATTAGAGCCTTCCTTGGAAAGACAATATTATTCCAAACCCAGAAATTTTATTTCTGAATTTGTGCAAATATAAGTTAAAAGATATTAGCTGCATTTCACATTTTGTGCAAATGGCAGAAACAGGCAATTCATGTGCAGCAGGATGGGGGCTAGCCAACGATTTCGATAAAATAAACCCTTTTTTAATTTAAATGCTAATGCACTGAATTAAAATTTAATAACTGAGGAAATTGAAAAGCCGAGCAGGAATATTGGAAATAAATCCAAGCAGAAACAGCTGAAATTAAAAATTCTAGAGAGTGGGAGGATAGCAGCTAAGCTGTCTTATATGATTACATTTTTTTTTTCAGAACGAAGGGGGGAAGGAAAAAAATCCTATCTTTGGCTGGCTGTAGGGCAGTAAATCGAGAGTGCTGTGATTTATTGCTCAATTTTCCTGAGGGAAAAAGGCTTTCTTTCATGCTGAAATATTTCATAAATTTCAAGCCAGCATAAATTCTTAATTTAAAAGTTATGGAGGTCACATTTAGTGCAGTGGTGCAATTCTGAAATCTTAAAGGAGTAGCAGCCGAAAATTACAATTTGATTTTTTCTTATTTTTTTAATTCTTCGTGTGAAATTTTGTTCAAAGGGATTCCCTGCGTTACAGAGAGCAGAAAGGCATCCTGGCTTCCAACGCTTCCGAAATCCACTGGAAATGAAGAGATAAAAATCTAATTGAATTACAAAAAGTTATTTTTTTTATTATTATTATTGTTAGCCACTTGAGGAATTTCTGTTAAAAAATTTCCTCCCTCCATTGCCTGGGAAAAGCCAGAAGGGAGGAGCTGACAATGTAATTGCTTCTGTTAGATCTCCAATCTTTTGTGAGCACTGATATGTTCATTTGTTATACAGCTGTTCGGCTACAGAAAGGATGTCAGAGCACCCATAATTCAAAGCAATCAATCAAAAATTAATGATTTGTCATGCTTACACAATGGAAAAAAAAAAAAAAAAGAAAAAGAAAAAGAAAAAGAAAAAAAGCTTTATGGGTTCCTGCAACTGGTAGATTGCTCAAACCTTCGGGGCATTTTCTAGAAGATTAGATCTGTGTGTACAAAAAAAAAAAAAAAGATAAAAAAGGAAAAAAAAAAAAGGAAAAGATGAAAAGGAGACTTGGTACAAAGGCAGGGCAGAAGCCCTGTGGGGTGCTGAGGGGTTGGCATTATCCAAAATCCCACTGAGACTGGGGACACCGCAGTGCCCGTCCCTTTAGATTTCAGCAAAACCCAACCATGATGGCACCTGCAGGGCCCCATGTCTGGGAGGGGGACCACAGCCCCACAGCTGCCCACAGGGGCCCACTGGGACCCCCACCATCCCCACAGGGACCCACACACACAGCAGGCTCATCACCTGCTGGCACCCAGTGCTGCCAACCCTCACGGAAAGGTTTTGGCTTAGGAAATGCTATTTTGGGAAGATCTTTTGGGAAATACCATTTCTAATAACAGGTTTTTTTTGCTTTTTGGCCTCTTCTACTCAGCAATTCTTGGGACTCCCCTCATGATGCCACAAATATCAGTGCCAAGGGTGAGAGGTGTGCGAGGAGCACACAAAGAGAAGTTTGATGGTGTGACTCCCACCAACATGAGGGCTTCGAAAGAGAAAATAGAAACCACAGGAGATGAGAGCTCTCAACACAGAATTCGTGGGTGCACAACCTGTTGGCTTGCCTGGGATGCCCGGAGTGACGAGGAATTGTCTTAGGCCTCAGATAAAATATATAATATAGTTAATGAATATATGTAACAAAACTTTTAAAAAATATTTTTTATTAAAATATATAAAAAAGAGGGCAACCAGACAAGATTCTATTGCTGTTAGCATAGAATCACAGAATGCTTGGGCTGAAGGGCCCTCACAGCCCTGCCACGGGCTGGCTGCCCCCCAGCTCAGGCTGCCCAGGGCCCATCCATGGCCTGGGGCACCTCCAGGGATGGGCAGCCACAGCTCTGGGCAGCAGTGCTGGGGCCTCTGAGGAAAGGATTTCCCCATCACACATCATTAAATCTCCTCTCTTTTAGTTCAAAGCCATTCCCCCTTGTCCTATCACCATCTGCCCACACCAACAGTCTGTCCCCTGTTTATAAGCTCCTAGGGAGGAGGAGAGCAGCCCCCAGCCTGCTCACATGGAAGATGCTCAAAATCCCACTGATGATATCAGCATGGTCATCTGGGGCTGCTGAAAGCCCACACCTGTCCCTTTAGCATGGATTCAATAGACCTAAAGAGCAAGCCAAGGCTGAAGGAAATCAGATACAGCCCTACAAAAGGTTCACAGCTGCTTAAATAAGCCTATCCCAACAAAAGTGCTGCCAGCAAGGTGACTGTGACATAACGCTGAGGACCCCATTAGGCAGCTCCAACCCTCATCGATCACAAAGCAAGTATCAGGTTCAGAAAGGAGCCCACAGACCTAAGCAGCCATATTTGCGGCTGCAGCGTTGGCTCAGAGGTGCCCATAGCTCATCAGCCCAACCCACAGCTTGTTGTGAGCCCAACATCCCTCTTCATCCACACGAAACAAAACATTACATTTAACTTCTCAAAATTCACATCTAAAGACTAGAAATATCCAAAGAAATTCAATGTGTCGATCGCTGCACATCACCATTCAAGCACCCTCAACCTGAATGTGCTGAAATGGCTCCAAGCAACGTTCAACAGAGCGGTGTCTTCAGGAAGGGCAAAGAGAAATCTTCCCACACCAGCTTATCCAGTTCGTTATGTGAATGATTTCCTCATTTTGAACTGAGGAAGGAGAGCAGCAGGGCTCGTCCCAGCCCGCCGGTACATGAGGATGGGGTGCATGGAGAGCTGCAATGGAGACAACGCTCCCACTCATAATAGTAACACAGCATCAAATAATTTACAGTTCAAAATACGACTTCCCAAAGCTGCTTTCGTGTCTGGTACATCGAGGGTAGTTACACAAAACTAACACAGATAAATAGCTATTAAATTAAAATGCACAAAACCAGAATGCGCTTTCTGACCATATGTTCCCCGCCACAAGCAGAAAGTGAATCATGAGATAAATAAGAAATGTATCAGTCAGCATCTCCTAACAGGAGAAAGTGTCAAAAATTAGGAGCCCGAGCAGATGCACAGCTGACCCCAGAAATGTGTGTTTAGAGAAAGGGCTACACTATGTGAGGAAAATTGAAAATAAAATTAACAGTTGCTGAGAAGCAACAACATAACTAAAAAGCATTAAGATGCGAAATGAGATTTTGGAAGACTGAAGCGTGAGGTTCAGTTATGGTTACACAGCCCAGACCCAAAACATGGCTGATGTAAGCGAGGGTTTGTGACACTGAGCCCTGTGCCACACTGGATCCCACCTCCGTTAATTAATGCTTCCATGAATTAATTGCTCCCACCCATGGTACCGATTCTGTGTTTTTACCGAAACTTATGAGGTCCTTCCACAGCCTCTCCCAAGGAGGAGGTAAGGAGAGTTTAAACCCACAGATTGTTTGTAAAAGGGTGGAATTGTTTGTTTTACCTGGGGGGAAAAAAGGGGGGGGGGAAAGACAAAAACCGACCTGAGTGCATTGCAAAAGAGAGCTCAGCCCTTTCTGGCGGAACACAAAGCACACGTACAGGTCAGGAAGGAGCCAGGAGCACACACTCAGCATGGAAAATTTCACTCCAAATAATTAAAATTTGGCACCAGGATAACCAACTGAAAACAGGTCTTGCAAAGGAATGTGCCATAAAAATAACTGCTGCCTGCCTACCTGCACTGCCTGTTATTATTAACTTCAGAGCAACAGAACATGCAGGAAGTGGTTTGGTTTTTTCTTTTTCTTTTTTTTTTCTCAGTAAACAAAGGTTAAGATGCTGGCAGTCTTCTGTTTAACTTTCATAACAGAGAAAAAAGGAAAAAAAAGAAGAAGGAGCCCCACACTGCACCAAAACATCTGCACAACAACAGGGCCAACCAATACACCTGCACCTGGGTTCCTGCTGTCACGATGGAGATGCTAAGGAAAAACTCAAGTCCTGAACTTTGAGTGGCAACACAGACCCAACATCACCCACCTTGTTCTTCTGAGCCCAGCCCAGTGATCCCCCCCCAAATTTAATTAAAAGCAAAGGGCATCGCAGAGCAGGTGGGAGAGCTGAGCAGCCATGGCTGTGTGCTTCCCAGAGGCAAAGCATCGCCTAAACGAAGTAAAATGGTCTTTGATGCTTTGGAAAGCTTTGGCTTATCCCATCCTTA